ATCAAAGATTTATCTTTAAGTCACGTACTACCATGTAGACACATGTCCTCTGCATTCTCTAATGAACCCTAATGAACAACATTGTTTGACACATAATGAGTGATTCAGAAAATCCAATATTACTTGTTCCGCGCAAATTCCGTGAATAAGAAAAAAAATAATTCCACTTTCACACACACACGTTTTTTTTTTTTTTTTTTCAAATATATGTGTATAATATACATATATATTTCTTTTTAGATCTTTATTATGGTTTTTTGTTCTGTTCTGTTCTGTTCTGTGTTAGATAAAAAAAGCTCGAGCGAAAAAAAAAAAAAAAGTAATACATGAGAATGACGTGTGAAGATGATGGATTGAGTGAATGATGATGGATTTATACATTATATACGATTGTGTAGTTCTATCTAGTAAGAAAAAAAGGTAAATTAGAATGGCGATAGAAATTATTATATGATTAAATAGTTCATACGGGATCGTGACATAATTAGCTTGAAAGCTTTTTTTTTTTCATATCTTAGGGGTTGTTATACATAAATCATATACATTGCATAATAACGAAAGGAGAAGAAAAATAATCATTTTTTTCTCCTTTTTTTTTTTTTTGTTTTTTTTTTTCTTTCTTGTTTTTTTTTGATCCCTTAGTGTGTTATATATATTGTGATATAAAAATTATTGTTCGTTTTCCTCTGAAATTGGTGTAATTGTTCGTTGATGGTGTGAGGAAGCAATAGGATATATGAAGAAGAAATTGTTTGTGGAAAAAAAAAATATATATTCTATGTTTCCTATTTACAAGAATAAAGGAAGATAAAAAAAAAAAAGTTTTTTTTTTTTTTTTGTAATGACCCAAGAGAAAAAGAAAAAGAAAAAAATAGGTGAAAAAATTGTCCGATTTAAGTTGGAATAATAATAATAATAATAATATGGTGAAGGTGGTCATCGATGGATCGCAGCGTCCCTTAGTTCCTGTTTGTCCTTGTCGGAGAACTGTACACTCGCTCCAGTTCTTTTCGGACCATCGATTGATTGGCCGGTTTGCTCACCCATCCGTTCATCCCTGCCTCAAAATATCGTTCCTCACAGGGATTCGTCGTGTAGGCAATTATCGGAATCTGTCGGTTCTTTTCCAGGACGGTTGAGCCAGCGGCGTGTATTGCAATGGTCGTTTCAATACCTGACAACTCGGGCATATCGATATCCATAAATATGATATCGTAGGGTTCGTCGGATAGTCGTTCGAGCGCTTCCTTTCCGCTCACGGTGCAAGTCGTGTTGTGTCCAAATTCTCTGGAGAGTATCTTTGATAGCATCTTTGCGGTGATTACGTTGTCGTCAACGATCAACGTTCTCACGCAAGGATTAATTGACAGAGCTGCCATACCTGTGGAAACAGCTGTGACGGATGGGTCAGAGACGACGGTAGAAGCGGTGGGGGTGGTTGGTGAAGTTACAGGTGAACCAGATAGATGAACTGCTGAAGAAGCGCAGGTAATAGCTGGCATGTTGATTTTTTCCAGCTTTCTTTGTACTTTTATCTTGGGAGCTTTGTAGAGAGGGGGGCAAAATTCTGCGCAGTTAATATTATAGATGTCTGTTTTGATACTGTTGTTGGTTGGTTGCTATCGCTGTCGTGGTGGTGGTAGCTATTATGATTATTATATAGACTTCTGTCGACAAGTTGCTGTCGTGAGATGGTTGGTTCGTTTGTTCTCGTTAAAAAAACTGATTTGATGAGGGGAGTACGTTCGTGGTCACTTCCCGTATTTTATAGAGCGAAAAAAAAAAATTAGGTTGTGTAGGAATTTTTTTGTTTGACGGAAACAATATACTGCTTTATATATTTTTGAACACGGTAAGGAACAAGATGAAACTAGCCTAAATAGGAGATAGCAGCTTCACCGAATACCAAGACTTTTTGATGTACTACTCTGTAACATGCAGATGGTCATTATTAACTATTTTAAAACCTGACCGAGGAACCTAGACCCTTTTGAATAATACGGTATTTATGCTCGGTTAAAGTAAAACCCCAACAGACCAACTCATCCAATCAAGTGACCCATTTATTATTATTATAGTATTAGGTGAATGCGGAAATTATTCAAAGCAGATGAGTAATCTTAAGTTATGTTGCGCGGATCCTTGCCGCTGCTGTAATTGCCGTAGTGCGGCGGTATTTTAATACTGCTTATACTGCTTAGAAATTGAACTAAAATCCATTGGCAGAAAAGAATTTCCGAACATGTATAAAAATTTCATTAATTAACCCTTTTACCCCTAGTTGATTCATTCTCACCGGAGCATCTATGGTTTAATGATGGGCACATTCTCTCGTACGATGTGCCTTATTTCCTGCTTTGTGGGTTAGCGTGGTGCGAGTGACAGGAGGCGACAACCACATCTGACTGACTGAACTCATACGATCCGCCCTCGATGGGAGGCGGATGGGCGGGTGTAAGACCTGAACAGAACGTGCGCACAAGAAAAAGATGTTTGCCTACCGGTTTGTTGTTGTTTTGTTTTTGCAGAGTTCAAGTTTTATGCCAGCATCGACTCATTAATCATGGGAAATTATCCAAATAGAAAAAATGGGATGTTTGTACATCACTCTTCTCCGCAAAACTAGGGAAATTAGTGGTGGTGGTGGTGGTGAATTGTTTGCTGGGCTGGTTGGTTGGTTGGTCAATAATAGATGTAAGATGTTATTGCCCTGTTTAATGTGCACATCTTTGTGTGCATAAGCATGTATAATATGTATACGGTCAAAAACACTCGACAAGAATCATGTCATGTATACACAAAATAGATATATACATATACGTACTCATTAATACTTTTAGGTATTTTATATTTGTTACATCTCTCCCTCACTTCTTCACATCGCACACGTACGTGCGTACGCTCTTCAATGGTCCATTGAGCATACATTTTGGTTATTTCATATCTCGTTGACATTGATTCCTGAACGAGTATAATATTCACCCATCCTCATCCAACGGTCAATCGACTTCTTCTATTATTGTCTTCTCAGCTGCGGTGTTCAGTGTTTGTTGGCGACGCAATGTAGCGCAGAAAACATACTGTATAATCCTGCCGATCACCGAGAATTGGAAAACAATACCATTATTATTTGTAATAAGGTTCACTCGCCACAATGAGCCACGCATCCTGTCGCCTGCTGCCGAGTCTCACCTTATCAACAAACGCCGACGGTTGCCAAATCCTATCAATCGCTACTACGCGGTGGAAGGATGTGCGACCTTGAATGAAGAAGACGTGAGTACGATAGAAAAAGTCGTATGACGTTGCAACCACCATACTAGGCAATAAAAACATTGATGCCGCCGGAGATTTTCCCCAGACCATGGGTTTTCAATATTTACGCTGAGGTCGCTCTGTGTTCTTGTTTAAGCGTATACAAGTGGCATAACGTAAGATAATTATAAGCAACAGTAATAATCAATAGTAATCGATAATAGTAATAATAGTAATAATAATAATAATAATAATAATAATAATAATAATAAATCAATAATGACAATAATCAATAATCATAATGACAATGATACTTTTTATTGTTGTCTGTCATTATAGCATGCAATTGGTGAGCTTTTTTTTTTTTATTTTTTTTTTATTACGGTTACAGTGCATTCCACGAGAGAAGAATAAGAATGATCTTTCGAAACACCAAACAGTTAAAACAATTACAGCACGCATGCACAAGATTACCATATAAAGGTAGACGCAGTTTTCGGTCAAAAGTTTCATTCTTTATTTTCATTCCGGGCACATACGATAAAACAAAGAAACATGTCAAATGAAAGGCATGTGACAAGTAAGCGGTGATTGAAACAGACAAGGGAACAGAAAAGTTGGGTGCGCAGCTTTTTTCACCATGTCATGCGTGCGAATGTATGCAATGCTGTCTCAACCATGATCAACCGGTTGTCATCGGCATCCACCTCAGCGGAAAAAAATCAAAAGAAAACAAACTTCACAAGAGAGGGGCATGTGAGTCTTGGAATTTCTAATCGTGAGCAAACGTGTCCCAATTTTCATGTGCACTCATCGCTCGGTTTTCCTTTTTGAATTTTCTTTTAATGTACACTCATCCCCCGTGCCAAGTGTTGGGATTGAATCTGTTTGCTATTGTCTTGATGCATTTGTCGTGGATTCTGATGGCAGCGACGACGACGACGACGACAACCACGATGTATGTGTAACTCTTTGTCGAACAAAGAGGTCATCGTTTATTGTTCAGATCATGTCTTTCACTGGGGGGGGGGGGGGGGGGGGGGGGGGGTAGCGAGTGTCGGAGGGGCGTGGGTAGCGGTCGGGGGGGCAAAATACCATTTCGCACACTTTCGTGGTCCTCGGTTTACCGA